GGACCTGCCCAAGGACAGCTGCTCTGAAGGATCCTGGAAACCAGCTAGTCTTGGAAAGAAAGAAAGTTTAAAAAACTAGAGGCTGCTGGTCCCCTCACTTGAAATTGACTCAAGGTGACTGAGGAAACTAGGAGGAAATCTCTGTGTTTCCAGGGTCAGGATCAAGGAGGCAGAAAAGGCCTTGATTCAAAGGAGCTTTTTGGAGACTTGGGTCAGTCAAAAAGGAGGACTGTTTGAGTTTCTAAGCTTACCCAAGGGGACACCTGAGTGTCCAAAGGACACCATGTCTCCCTATTACCTTTATGTGGTGTTGTAGATGGTGCCTGGAACTTTCACAGAATCTCCTCATGCATCTCAGCCTGGGAGGACCCCCATCTCCACTGATTAGCCAAGGTGGCCTCCTAGGCACAGGCCTTAGCATGGATGTTTGGGTAGGCTCACACACTTCTAAAGGCTAGGTTTCCCCCCTCAGACTCAGTGTGCGGTCATTGCCAACTCCTCTACAGCCAAGGGCATTTGAAAAGGGAACTGGGCATCTCTCTGGGCAGGGCTACCACAGGGTTTTCTGATCAGCTTCTGTAACATTTTTCTGAATGGCTGCCTTTTATACTAGAACAGTGCCTTAAAGCTAACTGTTAATGAATTCAGTTTTTGAAATGTGACTCATACCCTGGAAGGTTTCAGAACATAGGTACAAGCTGATAAAAATGTATGAACATACATACGCACATACACACATTCACATTCACACTTACTCACTCAGGAACAGTCAGTCACTGTAAAACCTGAGATTTTCTTCTTAATTCTCTGACGATCTTGAGGTAAACTGAGTCCCCATTGAGTGAGATGCACTTTCAGCCTCATTTCATGGGGACTCTGCTTCTAGGGATGACAACAAGCCCTCATTTAGAGGTAGGCAGAGTGAAAGTGACTGAGGGTCTGTAGGTTTGGTTGTGTTGGCCTTATAGAATCACCAACTTTCAGAGACGGAGGGCACTGTAGAAGGTATTTGCTCCATTTGTTTCATTTTTCAAAGGTAGAAAACTAGGCATAGAGAGGTGAGTGAACCTGCTGAGGTCTCTCAGCTGCTCTATGCAGGACCAAGCCTGGAACCATCCTCACTGCTCTACCAAGACCTTTCTCTTCACAGCACCTGACACCCCTCTCAGCAGGAGAACTGTTTCCAGAAGATTCCATTACTTTATCTTTTTTTTTTTTTTTTTTTTTTTTTTACAATGGAAGTAACAAGAAAGTGGGTAGCAATGATCAGCAGGTTCTGGAAAGTATGTCTTTTTCTCATTGCTATTTTTCAATGGTTAGATTCTCCTGGGTCCTGATAGGTAAAGTAAGTTTGAGATCTCTAGATTGTTTTGAAATTTTTTTAATGTTTATTTATTTATTTTTGAGAAAGAGGGGAGGAGGGACAGGGATAGAGAGGGAGACACAGAATCCAAAGCAGGCTCCAGGCTCTGAGCTGTTAGTACAGAGCCCGATACTGGGCTTGAGCTCACGGACCATGAGATCATGACCTGAGCTGAAGTCCAAAGCCTAACTGACTGAACCACCCAGGTGCCCCGAGATCTCTGGAATGTTTTGAAGGTCATGGTTACTTTGCAAAATAAGCCTGACACAGAGGAAATATAAATCTGTTCCCTTAGGGGCAAGGACAAGCCTTTGCAAATATGAAGAGGTTGCAGACTTTGGGTGTAATAATAACCAAGATATAACACTTCCCAGGTTTCTCATATATTATTTAATTTACTCTGTTGGTCCTGGATTGTGATTTTGAAACTGTGGAGGCATGATCAAAAATGTCTCAATCTTCATTATTATTCAGCCTTAGGTCACATTCTGGTTCTGCCTTAGGGTGATCCTTTGATCTTTAGGCAAGTAGAGTAAACTTTCTGAGCCTCTGTTTCCTTACCTGTAGAGAGAAGATAACATCTACTTCTCAGTGATTTTCTGTAGATTAGATATAGTGGCATCAGAAAAACAGTGACATAAAAAAAACCGCACACACAGTCTCTGGCAGATGGCTGGGACTCAGTGAATGTTATTTCCCATGCCTTCTCTTGAATGTTGACCTGCCTCTGCCATTGGATTGCTTAAGGCTGAACACTTCACTGAAACCCTTGATCCCTCTGAGTCCTATCTGTAAAATATACTCTACAGTCCCTATCCTACCAGGACTGGGTCAGAAGAGGGTTAAGGAGACACAAGAAGCTTCATAGGTCTACAACTTTAGAAAAGACCCAAGGAGAATACTCCTTATCCTGGTGTTTTTAGAAATGAGTCCCAGGTGTTATTTCTTGAAAGGCACTGAGGCTAGTGCAGGAGAAAGAAACCTCTCTTGATATTTTATGAGAAATTAAACTGGAATTTAAAAAAGCCCAATTCAGTTTCACCCAAAATGAACAGTAATATTAACCTCCTTTCTATTTAAAGCCAAAGAGTGCAGCTTTGACAGCTAAAGGGAGGCTGCCTTGGAGCAAGAATTTCAAAATGAACCTATTTGATAATTGGAGCATGTGCCTAGCTTGTTTCACCAGGCAGGGTTTGGTCCAAACACAGCCGGTTCTCTGACTCTTCAGAGTTAAAAGATCCCAGGACGGATGATGCTTGATACTAGGATTGTATATTCTGTTGTCTGTCTAATATACACCAGGCAGTATTTGATCTTGCATGCCACCCCTCTGTTCCAAATAGAAATAGGATGACTTTAATTGGAGAAGAAAAATCAAGATAGAGGCTGGGCCACAGAAGAGAAAGCTTTGGGAAAGTCACCAATAGTTGTCTATGTGGGATGGGAATGGCCAGTACCTTTCTCTCCCATCTTTTGACTCAGTCATTTGTTAATATAGATGGATCTTTTTGACCCTCTTTAGAAAAGCCAAGATTAGTGGCTACTCTTTTCATTATAAGGATAATTTTTATGCTACAAAATACACAATGTTGGACCAGCTTTCTCCTTGCATTCTGTAATCAAAACTAGGTGGCTGGCAAGTAAGTCGTGAAGATTAAAGTGGCCTACAATTCATGGACACCAATTCATGGACACAGCAGCAGCTCAGCCCCCAGAGGCAAGTAGAAAGTCTTCAAAGCTGATAAATATGTTGGCAGCAGGTGGCATGTCAACTCAAACAAGGTTGTAGTCCTGCCCATTTCAGCTCACCATTATAAAGGTGAATTGTCTGTATTGTGAAAGGTCAAGTAGTATTAACCTTAGGACCAGAAAGATGGCAGCTCCTGGAGAGCAGCTGGTACATAAATCTCTACTGGCTGAGAAGCAGAAAGATACTTAATAGAAGTGTAATGGAAGGATTTTTCTTCCCCCACAACCCCCCACCAACCCCCACCTAAACTTAGTTTGGCTAAAGTCAACAGGAATTCTTTTACTCCCACTCTGGCATAGGGCTTAGCTGCCTGTGTATGTGACTAAGGGACAATCCAGTGACGACCAGCTGCCTGCACTAGCATTGACACCCTTCCCCTCTGCATTCTGAAATTTTTAACACCAGATTCATCTTGGAGGTCATGGTAGCAGTAGCCACAGAAGCAGCTGTTACGATGCACAATGATAATTGGGAGTTAGCACCCATTAGCACCACTACGAAGATTGATTTATCAAATTCCCTATAACACTTCTGAGAACAAGGACTTAGGAATCTTTAAAAAGCCAAATTAAGAAGGAGCTTTAGAAAACATCTAGTCTAAGTCTCCTTTTGTATTTGAGGAACTTGAGGCCCAGAGAGGTGTAGTGTCTTGTTCAAGGGCACCGGCAAAATTGGTGGCAGAGCTGAAGTTGGAGCCCAGGTCTCACTGGGCATTTGTTTCCCCAGTCACTTGGTCTAAACCCATGTTTTTCAGATGAGGGCACCCAGTGCCACACATGAGAAGAGACTGTCCAAGCCTGGACACCAAGTCCAGTGTTCTGGGTTTTTTATATCATATTCTCCCTTTCTTCACATCCCCATGGCTGAGGGGAGACAATGAAGTCAAAAGTGGGTGAATAATTCGCACTTTGGCACACATTCCATTTACCCATCAATGAGCATTGAGAACCTACTGGGTACAAAGTACTTCAGCCACTTTGGGTAATGCATATGGAGTTAGGAAGGGGAAGGAGGTGAGTGTATCTTAGAAGTAGGGCAAACATAGAATGGTTTGGGCACAAGAATCCTTGTAAAAGGTCATAAAATGTCCCACCGTATGGTCTCTTCCTGCCTCCCTTCTCTCTCTCTCTCTCTCTCTCTCTCTCTGTCTCCTTACCAGTGACCTTCCCCACCCTCTCCCCCAGAGAGAATGAGCCCAGACTAGCTTTCATGGCCTTGGCCCTCTTGTCTGGAGGGAGCCGAAGAGTAGATCTAAGGCTGGAAGACAGGGCTGTGAGTAAAGGCCTGAGCTCCCTTTGGCCTTCTCTTCTCAAATAGAGCAGAACCTGGTGAAGATTTTTCTTGAGCATCTACTGTAGGCAGGTTCACAAATACAGAAAGCACATGATCCTCCTGGCTCTTACAGCAAACTCTAGAGGTAGATTTATCATCACCAATGTACAGATGAGGAAATTTGAGGCCACAGAGGCTGATTTTCTTGCCTGGAGTCAACCCAGCTGCTAAGCAGCAGACTTAGATTCAGACCTATCTGGTTGCAAAGCCAGGCTCCAGCCACTTGGCCTCAGGCCCTTTCATGTCACCAGGTAACCTCACAGGATGTAGAGCTTCTTCCAGTCCCACCTGTTAGCTCTTTTTTCACCTGCCTTCTCTAAAGATGCCTCCTTTAATCTGAGTAACACAAGGAACACCTTTGTTTCTCTCTTAGTCCCCTTTACAACAATGTGGAGCCAAGCCAGCTGTGAAACTGACAGCTCCCCACCCTGGAGAGATGAGGGTTGTGGGTGAGATGAAGGCCACCTTCCTGGAGCAGAGGGCGGAGCAGGGGCGATGCTGGAATGTTTCTTTTGGGAGACAGTTTGCTCCACTGACCTTTGGCTGTCACTGCAGGTCTGGAGTGCAGCTTTGACTTCCCCTGTGAGCTGGAGTACTCCCCACCACTCCACGACCTCCGGAACCAGAGCTGGTCCTGGCGCCGAGTCCCCTCTGAGGAGGCCTCCCAGATGGACCTGTTGGACGGGCCTGAGACAGAGCACTCCAAGGAGATGCCCAGAGGTAAGGGTAGAGGCCACCACAAAGTGTCCCAGATGGGCTAGCACAGGGTTTGTATGTCTATTTCTGTTTGCAGTTTTAAGGCTTCCTGGCTCTGTTCTAACCTGTTTCCTTTGAAACCTGCTTTTAATGTGTGCACCTTCCGTAGAATGCAAGTCCAGTTTCAGGACCAAGCCGACCCTTCACTCTCTCACCAAGTAAAGGAAATAGGATTTTATAGCTCTCACACTGATGTAGGAGAAAGTGCTGATCTGTTTGTCCTTTGGGAATAGAGTTGCCAAGTAAAATACAGGACACCCACTTAAATTTGAGTTTTCTGATGAACAATGGTTTTTTTTAGCATAAATACATCTCATGCAATAGTTGGGCCATACTTATACATTAAAATTATTCCAACTTCCAATTATATTTAAAAATTTCAGGGGCACCTAGTGGTTCAGTAGGTTAAGCATCTGACTCTTGATTTTGGCTCAGGTCATGATCTCACAGTTCATAAGTTCAAGCCCCACATCAGGCTCTGTATTGTCAGTGGGATTCTCTCTCCTCTCTCTGTCCCTCCTGTGCGCGCGCGCGCTCAATCTCTCTCTCTCTATCAAAATAAATAAGTAAACTTACAAAAAAGAAAAATTCAAATGTAATTGAGTGTCCTGCATTTTTTTTTGCTAAATCTGGCATTTTTAATTTGGAAGGTATCGTATAACTGGGTTAAATGTTAGTTTCAAAGCCATTAATGAATATTCAGGCTGTGTTGTAGCTTTGCAAGGTGTTTCCAGTAGTCCTGAGCGATTAATGAACATCCTCTTCTGAATTATCAGGGGCCGGAGAAGTTAGACTCTGAATAAGTTGTGGGTGTTTGTTAAATATTTGCTGAGTGTTTAGAGATAGATGCAGAGACACTAAGCCCTAGTCCAGCTTTCAGGTCTCAAATCTTAGGTGGCAAATCTTAGAGCTCCACGTTCCTTGGACCCAGAAAACTCTGCTTATTCAGAATTGACAGCCTATGTTTCTGACTTGTAGGGAAAAGTAGCCACTGATGTGGTAATGGACTCACTGAACCATTCGGAGTAGTACTTTCATTTTGCAAAGCCCTTCCATGTACAGTCTCATGGGATTCCAATTTTGTGAGAGAGGCAGGGCAGATGAGAAATTGAGGGCTCAGAGAGGGGAAGTGACTTGCTAAAGATCACATAGCTTGTACGTGTCGGTCCAGGTCTAGATGTCTCCTGTGATGAGTGCCAAACAAGGACGCTTTCTCCCACATCGTGTTTCTGTCTTTGCAGCAAAAGCTCTAGTGAAACCCTGCCCTGGGCCCAGGTCCGGGAGGCAGTTATCTCAGGCTCATGCTTCTGTGAATCTAACGGGCTCAATTAAGTTTCTGGGGGAGGTCGGAGGTGGCACAGAAATAAGCCTGATGCCCTCAGGCTTCTATAGCAGCCTCAGACCCTGAACTGTGAGAGAACTTTCCTTTCTTCATACTCTCCCAGGCTGACCTTTTTTTCTGTTTTTATGACTCTTTTGAAATTGCTTGACCTTGATTTATATTTTAAGCTGCTTTCACCTGGATGCTGATGTGTATCGGCAGGGGGAGGGGGGAGTATTGTGTGTAGGTGAGTGGCTCTTAACCCTATAGTGCATCTACAGTGCATCTGACTCCTCTGGAGAACTTATACAAAGTACTGCCTGGTTTCCGCAGCCTGGGATACTGATTCAACAGATCGGAGATGGAACCTGGAAATCTGTATATTTTTAAATTTTAGCATAAAATCTAGCATGTGCAACAAAGTGAAACCTGTATGCATGGATTCACAATTACAATGAAATCAACATGTGTGTTCTCAACACCAAGCATAAGAATTTGAACGTTTTGTCAGTCCATTTACAACCTCTTCTGTCACCCACCTAGATCCAAAATCTTTCCTTTCCCTCAGAGGGAACCACTATCCTATTTTGTGTCCATCGTTCATTTGCTTTTCCTTATGACCTTACCACTTGTGTATATAGCCCCAAACAGCATGTCGATTAGGTTTGTAACCTGTTATACAAATGAAATAATATTGTTGTTTTGTGGCTTGTCAATGTAGATGCATGTAGCTGTGGTTCATTTGGTTTTCAATCACTGCATGAAAATACCACAGTTGATTTCTTCCACCATCCTTAGACATTTGGGTCATTTCTGTGGTTTGGCTGTTACCAACAGCACTACTGTAAGCATTTTGTACATGCCTCTTGGTGCATATACACGTCCAAGAATTTCCCTGGAGCACAGAGTAGGAGTAGAATTGCTGGGTCATGGGTTGCAGCTTCCATTTCAATAGAGAGTGCCGAACTGTTTTCCAAAGTGCTTGTACCAAGTTATACCCCATTTTGAGGTGTTAGCATTCCTCCCCAGGACTTTACATCCTCACCAGTACCTGATATTGTCAGACTTTGTCATTTTCGTCCATCTGGTGGATGCAATACAGTATTTCAGTGGAGTCTCAGTTTTCACGGGACTCTCTCCTTCTTTTTTCCTTTGTGTTTTTTTAAAAAAATATTTTTAGACACTTCTCAAGTGATTCTGAGACATAACTAGGTTTGTTATACTCTTGACGTGGACCTGCTTTCATGCATCCATAGGGGTGGCTCCAGAGCCTAATCCCCAACAGTCCTGGTAGTACATGTACTTTTGGTCATTGTATGTTTTTTGTTTGATGGCTATTGAATTGTGAGTGCAGTTCAGTGAAATCAGGAGATAGGGACAAGTAGCAATTGTCCACAGACTTTGTGGAGTCAGACTTTATCAATTTTAAAGTTGGTGTTTTTTAAATTTTTAAATGAATTTTAGAAGAGTGCCAATAGATTACGCATTGCCGCTCTGTGACCTGTCTCTCCTCCTTTATCTGCTTTCTTGTGATCTCTGGCATCTTCATGTTACCCTGAGTTATAGGAGAAAAACGAAAGGAAGAAGAGGAGAGAAGAAAGAAATAAGTGTTCCTGAGTGTGGAAATATATCCGTGCCTTTATGTTTTTATAAAGGGCCAGTACATGCACTGACTACAGACTTTTTCCAATTAGTTAGACCAGTAAGGATTGGAATATTCATGTTTTAGTGAGTACTGCCAACTTCCATTTGTCTGAAAAACATTCTTTTTTTTTTTTTTAATTTTTTTTTCAACGTTTATTTATTTTTGGGACAGAGAGAGACAGAGCATGAACGGGGGAGGGGCAGAGAGAGAGGGAGACACAGAATCGGAAACAGGCTCCAGGCTCTGAGCCATCAGCCTAGAGCCCGACGCGGGGCTCGAACTCACGGACCGTGAGATCTTGACCTGGCTGAAGTCGGACGCTTAACCGACTGCGCCACCCAGGCGCCCCTGAAAAACATTCTTACTAACATGAAGGACAACGATGTGAATAGCCATGGCAAAAGCCATTGTAGATATATCAGTCCGCTTGATCAAGTTCCTTAGTGAACAAACACATCCAAGCATAACTTGAGGGAATCTCAGCACTGTCAGAACTGGTATTTCTTTTTCCTGGGGTCTAATGGAAGTATCTGTATAGTCACACAGCCTTGATCAGTCTTAGAAACAAGGGACTAGCCTCTAGCCTTTGTAGGCACACATCTGGAATGTCACTGAGAGGTGTTCAGAACTTCCAGTAATGGGCCGCTCATTGCTTTTTGATTCAACTAATTATATCACTCCCTGGTCACTGAAGTAAGGTTGCTACTCATGAAGCAAGCTGATGTGTCTTAACGTCTCTTGACTGTCATGGAAAGAGGTGAAGGTGAAGGAGAGAAAATGGCGTGCCCAATTTGCACAGCACCAAAGCAAGGACCTATATCCCAATCCTAAATGCCATCTCTTTAGAATCTCCCTTCTCTGATGATCCCCTCTTGGCAGAAGGGATTCTGGTTGTGGAGATAAGAAGGAGGAATGGGGTGCACTTTAGGGTAGTACAGTCAATAGAGATTTTTTAAAACTCAACATTTATTGGTTGGATGGTATTTAGACTCTATTGCAATATTTCTTGTCAGAGGATATAGAAAGACCAGAAAAAGGCAGTGAGATAATACCAATCATAGATAATGAACTGTAAGAGTATAAATTCTGAATGATTTTAATTTATAGCCGCTGTAGCTGAGAATAATAAGGAAGATACAATTCAGAGCAGCAAGATAATAAAAAGTGATGGTCTTGATTGAACACAATATTATAAATTAATAAGATCTTGAGGAATCATCAGGTTGAGGCGTTCTATGACTTTTTAAGAAGTGCCAGGAGCATGTTTGACATCTACAACTTCTGGTGTTTTGGAATGTAGTCACATTTTTCTTCTCCAGCAAGACAAGATCTAAGTCTCCAGCATGGGCCCTAGCTTCAAAGTAGAAAACAGATTAGCAGCTTCTCCCCAGAACCCCTCCATAACCCCTCAGTCATGTGTATACCCAAGAAGAATGGGACTAGACTCAGCTGAGAGGAGCGGACATCCTTCCTGTATCAACTCAACTCTCTTCCACAAAACTGATTCTCAAGTCTCTGTTTGGGTTTGGCTTTTGTCTTTCTCTGACTTATTTTGCTTAGCATACTCTCTAGCCATATGATTTCACCCATATATGTGGAATTTAAGAAAAAACACAAACATGCAAAGGAAAATAAGAGAGAGAGAGAGAGAGAGAGAGAGAGAGAGAGAGAGACTAAGAAACAGACTTTTAACTATAGAGAATAAATTTTTTTTTTCCAACGTTTATTTATTTTTGGGACAGAGAGAGACAGAGCATGAACGGGGGAGGGGCAGAGAGAGAGGGAGACACAGAATCGGAAACAGGCTCCAGGCTCTGAGCCATCAGCCCAGAGCCTGACGCGGGGCTCGAACTCCCGGACCGCGAGATCGTGACCTGGCTGAAGTCGGACGCTTAACCGACTGCGCCACCCAGGCGCCCCTAACTATAGAGAATAAACTGGTGGTTACCAGAGGGGAGGTGGGCAGAGGGATGGGCGAAATAGGTGATGGGGATTAAG